AATTAGCCCTAGACTGGACTGCAGTTCAGGAGACTTGCTCATGGTGAATTGGCTAATCACTGTGTCAGATGTGGACATGGATCCAAGAGATAATTTGGAGATATGATATAACAGGCGGGCCCCATTCTTCAAATTCAATGGCTCTGATTGGCTGGGTGCATTCATTGTGTTGTGTGACTTAGAGAAGAGAACTCAGGGAACAATGATCAAGCAAAATGCCCACCCAGTACTGGCCCTAGGGGAAGAGTTCCATATTCTAGTCCTAGAAGAGGTCAGGAGCTGGAATTCATTCTCTGGGTTGGGAAATTTCTCCCAAGAATAGTATTCTTCTCAAGAAAAACAGTTCTTCAAAACAGGTTTCAGAGTAACAGCCGTGTTAGTCTGTATTCGCAAAAAGAAAAGGAGGACTTGTGGCACGTTAGAGACTAACCAATTTATTTGATCATAAGCTTTCATGAGCTACAGCTCACTTCATCGGATGCATTCAAAAAAGTCCCTGGTTTTATCATCAGTTTATTAAATAGCTCTTTGCAGATTGCAGCCACTTCCTGATTTTACAAACTGAGGCCTTGACCCTCCTCCCATTGAAGTCAATGGTGTCATTCTCCTTTGCCTTGGCCCTTTGAGGACTCATTTACAGCTGTTCAAAGTTGTTTTCAAACACAGCTATTTTGACTGGGTAGCATTTTACACTCACTTTATACAGGTGTGAGTGACCACACAAAATACAAGGCAGTGGAGAATCAGGTCTGTGGAGTCCAATTTTGCAAGAGTCCAGGGCTAGATCTTCAAATGCTCAGCAAAGCTGGTGCCAGTTTTTCATATGTACTCTGTACCAGTGTACTGAGCCCCTTTGGAAACCTGCTCCTAGACTGTAAATAACTAGATTAAAAATCATTCAAATGAGGGGCAGAAGACAGATTTGGGAAAAGAAACATCTCCATTTGCGTGGGTTTGTTATCAAGCAGATTTGTTCTTGTTTTAACATAAACAGTATAAATGTAGTCAGCTTGCACTCCAATTAAGATGTGAGGGGGAAAAAAAACAATAACACAACACATGTATCCGGCATACGTGGGCAGAAATGAGTCCATTTAGGAAATAATATCGTAATGGAACTGTTATTTGGTCTGATTTTTCTTCACACTAGAACCTGCCACAAGCACTTATTTCTCAGGCTGCCTGATAAAATGTGTAACTGCTAACGACAGTGACTCTGTGTGTGTGCAATGAGTAAAATAGACTGTACTGCCACTTTGTATGAAAACGAGCTGGCAGCAGCAACTGCTCAGAGCCAGGGGAGAACTCAGCAAGTGTTACAAAAGGTGCCAGATTAAAGAGCATCCCTTATAGGGGATGGGAGAGTTTGCCAAACTGATCATGGAATACAGCACCTCAAATCCAGCCCAAGTCTGTAGTGACCAAGCAGCAGCACCATGGGCCGCTCAGTACCATTCCTAGTGGCCAAGCATCCACAAATGCCACCATCTAATTTGGTGCTGATTTGTTGGTAAGCCCCCTGCTGAAATGCCTGTGAATGAATGAGGCACAAAGATGGAATGAAGAAAAGGAGTACTTGTGGCACCTTAGAGACGAACCAATTTATTTGAGCATGAGCTTTCGTGAGCCACAGCTCACTTCATCAGATGATGAGCTGTGGCTCACGAAAGCTCATGCTCAAATAAATTGGTTAGTCTCTAAGGTGCCACAAGTACTCCTTTTCTTTTTGCGAATACAGACTAACACGGCTGTTCCTCTGAAACCTGTCAAAGATGGAATGAGTGTCTGGAGGGCAGGGCAGGGAGAGGCACTGGCAAAGGAAGGTGAATGTGGGAGTCTTGCACTGCCACTGTCCATCTATAGCTGTTCTCTGGATAAACAGAGGATTCAGTCTCGTGGGCTACCAATTTCACCAGCACTAAATTCACCCTGGGGCTGATCTTGCACCGTACTCAAGGGGAGCAAGGTTCAGATCAGGGAATGTACTAATGATTTCTAATTGCACTGCTCTATGCAAGATGTAGCTTTCCAATTGTGCCACTAGATGGCACTCTTGTCTTTACCACCAATACCATCAGGCTAATAAGGCCACAGCAGGATAGACATATCCCAGGAGCAGTGATAACATAATCCATTCCATTCTTAGGAGTCAGCTCAGGACACAGATGGATTAGCACAGACTTCATGATGTACCCTCAACCTAAAGAGAGGTGAAAGTGAGGGCCTCTGCTACAGGAGGATGGTGTTTATCTCTGAATACCCGACAGACATATTCCCCTGAGAGATTAACTGACCCTTCTCTGCACTCGGATGAATTGTTTGCATTGTATCTCAATTATACACATACAAACACAACTGCCCTGCTTATTTAATTCTAAACTTGCTTCCTAGAATAACAAGAGGAAGGCACCAGCCTTGTAGGCAAGCAGCAGACTTCCCTATCCCCTTAACTATAGCCCATTGCTGTATAAACAAATACTTATTTTCCTTCTTGGGACTGAGAACTATACAGGCATCTCAACATATAATGGCTGCAGACCTATAAGGCCCAACAACCTGTAAAACTATAGGAAACTGTATTGAGATCCAACTGCCGGATTCAGTGTGGGTTACCCCTAGAAGCTCTAGTTTCTCCCTGCAGGGCTGGGCTGCAGCCAACTGGTAGGGTTACCAGCCTTCCAGGATTGTCCTGGCATCTCCAGGGGAATGAAAAGATTAATCTTTAATTAAAGATTATGTCATCTGAAGAAACCTCCAGGAATATGCCCACCCAAAACTGGCAACCAGTTGAGACCTAATCAGTGTGGAATAGAGCAGAAGAATTACTTCTGTCTTGCTTACAACACTCCTGTTAATACATCCCAGAAGGATGTTTGCTTTTTTTTGCAACAGCATTACACTGTTGACTCATATTTAGCTTGTGATCCACTATGACTCCCAGATCCCTTCCTAGGCAGTCATTTTCCATTTTGTATGTGTGCAACTGATTGTTCCTCCGTAAGTGAAATACTTTACATTTGTCCTGATTGAGTTTCATCCAATATACTTCAGACCATTTCTCCAGTTTGTCCAGATCATTTTGAATTTTAATGCTATCTTCCAAAGCACTTGCAACCCCTCCCATCTTGATATTGTCCGCAAACTTTATAAGTGTACTCTCTATGCCATTATCTAAATCATTGATGAAGATATTGAACAGAACCAGACCCAGAACTGATCCCTGAGGGACCCCACTCATTGTGTCCTTCCAGCATGACTGTGAACCACTGATAACTACTCTCTGGGAACAAGAACAGGAGTACTTGTGGCACCTTAGAGACTAACCAATTTATTTGAGCATGAGCTTTCGTGAGCTACAGCTCACTTCATCGGATGCATTCAGTGGAAACTCTCTGGGAACTGTTTTCCAACCAGTTATGCACTTATAGTAGCTCCATCTAGGTTGTATTTCCCTAGTTAGTTTATGAGAAGATCATGCGAGACAATATCCAAAGCCTTACTAAAGTCAAGATATTCCACATCTACAGCTTCCCCCATATTCACAAGGCTTGTTACCCTGTCAAAGAATGCTATCAGGTTGCTTTGACATGATTTGTTCTTGACAAATCCATGCTGACTGCTATTTATCACCTCATTATCTTCTATATGTTTGCAAACTGATTGCTTAATTATTTGCTCCATTATGTTTCCAGGTACTGAAGTTAAGGTGACTGGTCTGTAATTTCCTGGGTTGGCCTTATTTCCCTTTTTATAGATGGGCACTGTGCCCCCTACAATTACTGATTACACCCGCTTGTGCAGCCAGAGGAAGAACATACACAGAGCATGAGTATTGTGATGCCATGGTGCTACTGTATGAGGTGGTGATGAGTGATCACTATGCTTAAAATGCTTGCAAGAGATCTGCATTATTCTGAGTCTGGTTCCAACTGACTGTGCATAAAAGCAAGAGCTTCACAGCCCACCCCCCAGACTCCCAGTCTGGGAACCACAGTCCTTAAAGGCACAGCCCCAATCCACTTCAGAGACAGGAAATGCAACTGACCATCTGTAAAACAGTGTAGTAGACCATCCATAAAGTAAACAAATTGAAAAAAGGTAGGGAAAAATAGAGAAGTCTCTCTGACCTTTCTTCATTATAGAAATCCTAGGGGTTCTTTGTAACGACAGATAGAAGGAAATTTTCAGATGGAAATGCGGTTTTTAAGTTGACAATATCCCACTGATTGAATTGCATTTCAACCATATGATCAGCTCAGCATTTCTGCGGGGGAGATTATTGCTATACAAATGAAATATCATTTTAAAGGTAGCAACTTGGGCCTTTGGATGTGCCCATAATATAATAATAAATCACAACTTCCTACACTCCAGATGCTGTTCCCCCTCCCAGCTGCTCTATGAGAAACCCCCCTCCCCCATCCCTTTGCCTGGATGGGTTTTAAGAAGAGCTTTGTTCAATGGCTGAGTCTTGTGTTTTCTTTCCCCTGTCCCCTGCTTTAGAAGTTGCATTCAATTTTAATTTTACATTTGGCTGCTATGGCGCGTTAATGACACACGTCCCGGGAGCTTCTGGCTGGTGCGCGGGGCCGGAGGACGAGCCCTGGCGAGCGCGCTCTCGCTTTACCCCCGGACCAGGCACAGCAGGAGCGGCAGCACGGCCACATCTTCCGCAGCGCTCCGGGCTCTGGCGCCCCCACTTCCCCCCGTGAGGGGCCCGGCTCAATCTCCTCCCACGCGGGAGCCAAGAACCCGCCCAGGGACAGAAGCCCCACCCCCTCCCCAGGCTGGCTCCTCCCACGTGAGCGGTCACGCTCTAGCCCCACCCCTTAGAGCGCGCGAGTTGTCGCCTCACCTCCCTCTACTGGCTCCGCCCCCTTCAGGTGCCAGCTCGTAGCCCCGCCCCCTGCTGCCTGTCACCTGGCCGGTCGGACGCCGCGCGCGGTGGGCGGGGCTCGCGGCTCCGCCGGCCTGCGCGCGCCCCGCAGCCGCCTGGGGCAGGGCCGCGGCCGGCAGGATGCGAGGAGCGGGGCGGCGGCGGCGCGGGGCGCTGCCCCTGCTGCTCTTGCTGTGCGGGCTGTGCGCGGCCGGGGGGCCGCCCGGCGAGGCCTGCGCCGCGCCCTGCTCCTGCCGCCGCGGCCTGCTGGACTGCAGCCGCCTCCGCCTGCCGGGGGGGCCGGGCGCGGGCCGCCGGAGGATCCCGCCGCTGCCCGCCGGCACCACGGGCCTGTGAGTACGGGGGGGGGGGCGGCCGTTGCTAGGGGCCGGTTGCCAAGGCGCCTGGCCCTGCCCCGCCTCCCTGCGCGCCAGGCCGCCCCGGCTGGGGGGCTCGCGGCGCCGCACAGCCCGGTCCCGGCGGGCCCCCTGGGGCGCGGCCCGCGGGGCTTCGGCGCGGCCCGGCCGCGGCCCCGGCCCCGGCCCCGGCCCCGGCCTCCGCCCCGGGCCCGTCGTTCCCGCCCGCGGATTCTTGGGTGGCGAAGTAGGTGAGCTGGGCCGGCTCCCTTGGGCCCCGAGGGCGGGGGCAGAGCCCGTCCCGGTGGGTCGCCGGCGCCGCCGCCCTGGCGCTCAGAGCCCTCGCGGGGACGCAGCCGCCTGATGCCGCGGTCGCTGAGGTGTGGGGCATTAGCTGCCGGAGGGCCTGGCCCGTGCGGTGCGAAGGGAAGGTCCGGCTCCGGCCGCCTCGAGGTGGGCGATACGCTGTGAAGCTCGGCGGGGCTGCGGCTAGCCGGGTCTGGACTGAACCTGTCCGCGGCTTCTGATGGGCGGGCAGGGCTTGCTGAGCGCTCGGCAGGAGACCGATCTCTTGCTGCACGTTAGGTTGAATAGGTCCGCTCTTAAAGCAGGTGGCTGTTTCTGTCCTTTTGATTGAAATGAAATAAACTTTAGTAAGCAGAATGTGTTTTGGGAAAGCATCCCTGTTCTATAGGGCTTCCTTTTCTGAAAGCTGTCATTTTCAGATGTGTCCTGCTTCTTGATCTTTATTTAGCCTGGAAATTGACTTTAACTGACAGCTAATCTTCCAAACTATATAATGAAACTGCAATTTTTCTCTTGTAGAGTATGTACTACAGAATAGTTTAGCAATAGAAAGAGATGTCTTGAGGTAATGCTTTCGGAGAAACTGAACCATAAAGTATATAATCTGGTATCTGGGGGAAAGGAACAATATCATTGTATTGTTGCAGATGAGAAAGTGAATCTAATCAATAGTATTTTATTGGTATAAAGTGCAAATTTGCTTTCCCTGACTGCCAAGAGAGGTGTGTTGTGCAAAGTTTCTGGTTTTAGTCTAACCGAGAAAAGACTGGACGTTAGGAACCTAAATATCTTTGTGGATCTGGGCCAAAGTTTGAGGGGAAATAAATGCCATTAGCTGTGAAAGAATAGGCTGGCCCTATCATGGACCAAAACACTGTCTCAATTTCCTGATGTAGATTAGGCCCAGTTGGATTGATAAAAGGAGAATTTAAATGCTCCAAACTGTTTAATAACATCTTTCTTTCACAGTCCATGGTATGAGGTAATGACTTGATTTGAAACGCCAGTTCTGATCCCAGTGGATTCTGCCCTTCATCTTCTGGAAAGAGAGAAACTGAGATTCATGCAGTTAACTTTTCAATATCACCTTGTAACCTGGGGTCCAGTGTAGTCCATGTGAATATATTAGAAAGCTACTGGTCCTTTCTAAAGAATTGGATTTGACTTGTTCTTTGCCAGTTTATTTCTTCTCCCTGCACCACCTGTGCTAGTTAGTGGTTGCAATTCAGTGGTGCTGAATGCACATGTTTTGTGAAGCTCTGAGATCCTGTGAGTTGTAGATTTAAAGGTATTATAGAAATGCAATTGACTTCTTTATTGGAACATCCTCTTTGGACATCTACAGATTTTAACGGGCAGCTAATATTGAGCGCAGTGAAAATGTAACTGCTTAATTTTTTATTTGGCTAATCAAGGTATTTGCTAGTATCTGTGATTAGTTTAAAAGTGATAGTTTTAGGTAAGCCAAAAAGTGTCAAATTCCTCTGGTATAGGTTGTAAGAGTTTATAAATTTTCTATAAAGCTAGACAGATTATATGACTATATGAAATTTGCATGGATTTCACACTTCAGGTGGCAACATATGCAATCATAGGTGTGGTGTTGCAGTCATTTTGACTGTTCCACTCTATCTTCTACCTGTACGTTACCAACTTCTTTCCTATCCTCTTTACTTCATATTCATATTTACTTCAGATTTCCCCCTTTAATAAATTCTTCTCCAAGAGATGTCTCTGCCTGAACCATATGCTCCTTCACACCTGTCAGCTTTCCCCTAGTTTAAAAAATATCCTACAGTCTTTTCAATTTTACATGCCAGCAGTCTGGATGTGTTTGTGTTTGTGTTTTTGTTTTTAGGTGGAGCCCATCTTTCCTGAATAGGCTCCTCCTTTTCCCAAAAGTTGCTAAAAAATCTAAAACTCTCCTCCCCACACCATCGTCTCCTCCAGGCATTTAGACCTTGCAATTCTGCCTGTCTTTCTGACCCTGCATGTGGAGCTGTAAGCAGTTCAGAGGATGCTCCCATGGGAGGTCTTGGACTTCAATCTCTTATCTAGCAGCCTAAAGTTGGCTTCCAGGACTTCTCTCCTACCTCTCCCAATGTCACTTGTTCGTCTCCAGCACTGCACATATCTCTAGATGCCTCTTGAGATCCACAACCTTTGCATCTGGCAGGCAATTTACCATGCAGTTCTCCTGGTCATCACAAACCCAATTATCTATACTTCTAATGATCAAATCCCTAATTACTATTACCTGGCTCTTCCTAATAACTAGGGTTCCCTCCCCAGGAGGGGTATCCTTAGTGGGAGAGGGTACCAGCACATCATCTTTAAGGAGGGTTCCAACTATGGGATGGTTTCCCTCCACTCCAGATTAATGTTCTCCTTCCACATGACTTTCATCCTCCTTAACAGCACAGAATGTGTCAGACTGGGGGTGGGTGGGACTGCTCTGTTATGTCCTTGAAAGTCTTATCCTTAGACACCACTGTATTAAACATAAATACTAACAACCTTTGCATAACACTTGCTGCTATTTGGAAGAGAAGGGGTAAAGTCCCAGATCCACAAAAGTATTTAGGCTCCTAACTTTGATTGCAATCAGTGGATGTTAGGAACCTAAATACTTTTGTGGATCTGGGGCTGAGTTTGAGGGAAATCAAATGCCCTTGTGTATAAAAGAACGGGCAGACCTTATCTTGGACCAAAACCATCTCTATGTATTTCCCTATGTAGATTAGGCCCAGTTGACTTGCATTGGATTGATGAAAGGAGAATTCAGATGCTCAAAACTGTTTAACATCCATTTGGAAGATAAATGCAAAACCCATATTCAGATATTTATAACTGGAATCCCAAGTTCTGGAATCCCATAGCTTATGTATATAGTCATAAACAGGAATTGCCTGTGAAAAGCTGTAGCTTTGGGAGGAAACAAGGATCTGAACTGTGAAAAGTAGGGCATGTCTCAGTTAACATGCTCTGTCTTCCGCTCACTATCCTGTAGGTGGGTAATGCAACACAAAAGGTATGTTCCCTCCTTGCCATAAACAATAAGAACTGATAAAGGGAAGCTACAAAGTTGAATTCAGCACGCAAATACAGCCTGCTAACCAGGCTATTATAAGATTTAACAAACCTTGAAAACCTCTGCCAGTGTTATTTGGGAATGTCTTAACTCAGACTTTCTCCAAGGAAAATATTCTGTTCCTGAAGAATAACTGTAGTTCATCAGGTTTCAGAGGAACAGCCGTGTTAGTCTGTATTCGCAAAAAGAAAAGGAGTACTTGTGGCACCTTAGAGACTAACCAATTTATTTGAGCATGAGCTTTCGTGAGCTACAGCTGAGCTGTAGCTCACGAAAGCTCATGCTCAAATAAATTGGTTAGTCTCTAAGGTGCCACAAGTACTCCTTTTCTTTTTGTAGTTCATCAGGTAGCTAATCACAAAAACAAAACAAAAAAATCTGTTTTATTTAATGAGGGCAGATTTTCTAGCTTACGAAAGTACTTATGTCGTTCTCCAAGCAGATAAAGGGGTGTGTTTAAAACTTTCATACAGAATGCAATGGGAAGAAGTGTTGTTGGCTCCTTTGCAAGATTGTGCAATCTGACAAATGCTGTAAACAATAATTAAGTATATGTTCTCTGTTATGGTTTTCAGGAGTTTAGCGCAAAAACATCTGGGGTGGGGAACATAACTACTTCCACAACTACTCTAAATGTTCTTGGTCGAAACAAAAAGCTATAATGCACAAAAGCCATTTAATATTCAGTTATTTACCTGCATTGTTGTGTAAATTAAGAATTAAATCTCTTAACACGAAATAAATGTCAACACCCATGCACTTTGACATCAGTTCTGCCCCTTATTGCTTTAAAGGACCAGAAATTCTTATCTTATTCTTTGGGAAAAATTTATGCAAACTATTGGCAGATATAGCTTCCAGTAGGCTGCTTTTTTTTTTTCTGGGTAAGTGAGTCAGTCCTAAAATGTGGGCTTGTGATGAAGTGTTCAGAAAACCATCATTCCAAATGTTTCTCTTAGGACATAAGGGAGGAAAAACATGGTTACCAACGATGCAATATCCCTAGTATTGATTAGATTCCACAGTTTGTGTGGAAGACAAGCACTAAAGCTAAAGATCTCTAAATCAGCATGTCCAGATAACTCTTACCAAAGAGCTTTAAAAGCTACTGGAGGAGCGGTAGGGACCATTTAGAACTCTCAGAACACTGGAGAAGTTCAAGAGGACTGGAAGAAAACTAACATTATTCCAGTATTTAAAAAGGATAAACAGGGTCAGCTACCTAGGCCTGATAGCCTATCTTGGGGCGGCGGAGGGGGGGAAATAATGAAATGGCAGATTCAGGACTCCATTAATCAATAATTAAGAGGGTAATATAATGTCAATCAATGTGGATTTATGGGAAATAGTTTGATAAGATCTATCACATTTTGAGATTGCAGGTTTGATAAAAGGAATAGTATTGATTTAATATGCTTGGACTTCTGTAAGGCATTTAACTTGGTATCGTGCAGCACTTTGATTAAGAAACTAGAATGAGACAAAATCAAGAGACCCATTTTTTCATGTTCTGTGTGTATATAAATCTCCTCACTGTATTTGCCACTGAATGCATCCGATGAAGTGAGCTGTAGCTCACAAAAGCTTATGCGCAAATAAA